TGAGGGCTGGACACGGTGGCTCACGCCTGTAATCCTAGCACTCAGGGAGGCCAAGGTGGGCGGATTGCACGAGGTCAGGAGTTCGAAACCAGCCTGAGCAAGAGCGAGACCCCGTCTCTACTATAAATAGAAACAAATTAATTGGCCAACTAATATATATAGAAAAAAAAGTTAGCCGGGCATAGTGGCGCATACCTGTAGTCCCAGCTACTTGGGAGGCTGAGGCAGCAGGATTGCTTAAGCCCAGGAGATTGAGGTTGCTGTGAGCTAGGCTGATGCCACGGCACTCACTCTAGCCTGGGCGACAGAGTGAGACTCTGTCTCAAAACAACAACAACAAAAAAGCCACATTTGATTCTAAACTTAAATCCATTTCCTTCTTCCTTAGCACCTCAGTCCACTGGCTCCATATGTTAATGACACCAGGAGTAGTCATCTTTTACAATTTGCACAGTTCAAACAGTTCCCCAATACTATCTCCATGGAGTCCCAAACAACCTTCCAAAGTGGCTATACTGACCAATAGCCTAGTGGGAGACTCTCACTTTGTCCTTTCAGCCTGCCTTTGGCACGAGCTTTGCCACCCTCTTTGCGCAGACAGGACACTGAGGCTCAGAAAGGGTACATCGCTTGCTCAAAGTCCGCCAGTGAGGCAGCGAAGCCAGGCCTTGAAGCCAGCTGGGCCTGTGGGTGCTGGGGTTTGCATTCCTTCTGTGGAGGCCTGATCCCTTGGGGAAACTTTTGCTAAACCAGGGCTGAGCAGCCTGGGCCCAAGCCTGCCTTAGGGATCAGAGGCATCTTCCTGCGATTCCAAGACTGAGTATGCTGGGTGCAGGAGGGGGATGGGCTGGATGCTCTGCTTCCATCCTAATGGCCCCGAGGGGAGCCCCCATCCTTCTAGCAGCTGTAAGGAACACTGAAATACAGCTTCTAACCAGGGAGAGGAAACAAGATCTCTGGCATCGTTGGCAAGCACAATCTCTGGGTTGAGCCCATGGGCCTGAAGTCCCTTTCCTTCAACTACCACCTTCTGGAGGCCTGGACCCCACCAACCTGGTCCCAGAGCCCAGGCTTTCTGCTGCCCGAGTTTCTGGAAGCCGAGAGAGGAAGGACAGAGTAGCCATTCTAGCCTAAGCTTGGAACTCACCTCTCCTTCTTTTCCCCTCCCACCACACCTGCTTGTTCCTCCAATCTGGTCACTCAGTTCTTTATTTGTCCTGCTGTTACTCTTACCATAGTTGCTGGGCCCCAGAGATCTCCAGGGGAATGACAATCATTCCCTGACCCTGAGGTCATGTTCCCAAAGGGGCAATGCACACTTGAACCACACCCATGCAGTGTGGCCTAAGGCAGTCAGTCATGGTCAGGGGAAGGCACACCTGACCCAGACTGGGAGCTCAGAGAGGGATCTTGGGGAGGCTCTCTGGAGGGGATGCCACCTGCCCAGGCTGGATTTTAGAAGTGTTAGCAGGAGTCGGTCACAGGAAGAGGTCCTGGCCAGGGAATTTCACAATATTTCAAGCTCCACAGGGTAAGGATTTCTGTCTGATTTATTACCTAGTGCCTAGAACAGTGCCAATAAACAGGACCTAAAAGAAAGAAGGAAAAAAAGAAAGGAAGGATGAGAGGGAGGGAAGAGAGAGGGAACGAGGGGAAAAAGGAGTGGGGAGAAACAGAGAGAACATGAGTCTAGTGTGGATATGTGAAATGGCATGGTCATTCTGGGAACTGAAAGTAAGGTAGCTCCAGGTGGCTGTAGCTTAGGTAGGTGGGGCCAAGCCAAGGGAGTGGCCTTATCTAATCCTATTGTTGGTGCTGTCCATTTCTTATCTCCCCACTGGGCCCATGGTGCTTTGGGGATGGGGTGATTTTTTTTCTCTCTAGGTCTCCTGTAGCTCCTGGTGTCTACACTGACTGTTAATGTACACACAGCTTTTGAACCTGTGCTGTGTGCTGGAGACACACCGATGACTCAGACTTAGATCCTGCCCTCCCAGTCTGGTGGGGGGGAGACAGACAGTAAACAACTAGACACAACAATGGGTAGAAGGAGTAGAGAGCTACTATGGAGGTTCAAGGAAAGAGACAAAAGCAGAGGGGCAGAAGCATGGGTTTTGCCGCAGGAATAGAAAGCAGGAGGTTTTCATGGGGGGAGATGGCGTTGGAGGGGATGTTAGCTTTAAAAATCTGTTGAGGAAGGAAGTGGGGGCAGGAGGCATCCCAGGCAGAGAGACATCAGGCCCAAAGACATAGCCCAGGGGAGGTGGGGACTGGAGGATCAGAGGGGAAAAGCAGGCTGGGGCCTCGAGTGCTGTTCTTGGGTGTTTAGACTCGCTTCTGATCCCACCACATTTGGGATGAGTGTGCCAGCAGCTGCACACCTAGTTGGGGCTGCTGAGTGTCCTCCTGCTTCCAGGGACCCACCTCAGCTCCCTTCCGGCTGGCAGTGGGGAATGAAGGGGAGGGTAAGAAACCCTCCCTGCTCTCTCTGCCTGGGCCCTCCCACAGTCTCTTTCAGCTCTGTCACCAGCCTACCAAGCCACATGAAGCCTCATTCTGTGTCGAGCCCCAGCCAAGGGCAGACCCTAGGGACAGAATGCCTGGCACAGGGTCTCCAAACACCATCTTCTGTCCTTGCCACACGTTAGGAAGGAGGTACTAGTCCTTTTTCCAGGGTGTGGCTGCGGAGAGAAAAATATAGATGGGCAATCTTAAGAGTCACAGAGCATCAGACTGTCAAGAAATATTAAACACCTTCTAACCCCCTCTGCCATTTGAAGGATGAGGAAAGTGATATGCAAATAAACAGGCTTGTGCTGCAGCCCTGACGTTGACAGGGCACGGCCAACCTGGTACAGACTGCGGATGGAGTAGGGCCGGGGAAGGGCAGTGTTTTCCTTCAGCCAGACCTAACCGATACTCACAATTTGTGGGCCTTATGGACACAAGATGAGTCAGGCTTCTTGTGAGTCAGTCTGTTGACGAGCCATACCTGGCCATTCCTAGCCCATCAAAAGCAGAAGGAAGTCCAGGGGAAGGGTATGAGCAGGCCAATTTAATTAGTGTGGGCTCTTAGGTACCTTAAGTTAGCCCTATTAAATTAACCGCCCAGGGGAAAAAATAACTGTAATTATTTCCTTCTCTCCCCTATCGTTGTATTTCAACTTCCTTCCAACCTCCATGCTTCCCTCATTCACAAAACAACCCTTAAAGTAGGGGCTAACAAACAGGCGCCCATGAAGTAGACTTCAGTCTTCCCTTTTTCTGCTCCTTTCCCCTGTGAGCTGTGGGTCTCAGCAGAGAGCAGAGTCAGTCTAGAGGTCCGCAGACCTGGCTGTAGTCTAATTTAGGGAGGCTGTTACACTGAGTAGAATATTATTCCAAAAATGCACCCAGAGTCTCCTTCCTGAACCAATGCAGATCTGTTTGCTGCGGGGCATTTCTTTTAAAAGCCCCTTTTCTCTTCTACACATCAAAATAAGCAAACTTTAATGGTAGGGAATTATTGTTTATTTTGTTGAAACCTAGTTCTGAGTTTTCCTAGTTGAAACGTGTTTTCCCCAGGACACTGACCTATCCTTTAATTGTTTGGTGAGAGGCATGTTAGGGGGAGGGGCGTTACTTGTTTATTGGAACAGCGCAGTTAAAAAAAAAAAAATCAACCTAGGCTAACAGTTTCAAGGCTCCCCTAAAGATGTATCCAAACAGGCAGCCAATCAGAGCTTACACAGCTTTTTCTGCTTGACTCTTTTAAAGAGACAGTGCCGACAGTGTTTTATCACATTTAAAGAGAACCGCACTCTAAAAACAGTCTGAAAATGGGGGAGCCTGCCCTTATTTCGCCGGTTTCTGGTCTTAAGAGTTTCTTATTAGGGGCACACACTGTGTCTTCTGGGTTCTCAGCGTGGGCAGAAAGGAGTCCGCAGCAAGGAGCTGGGTCACTCTGCCAGTCCCCCTCTCAATTTCCCATTGTACACCTGGGTCACTGACAATGGAAGCTTCCCCTCCCCCCATGCCTGATTCTTGTCTCCCACTCCCCAATTTAGCTCCATTTATTTGAAGTTTTCAGAATTCTGTGGCGCGCATTTCGCGTCTCAGGGCGCCCAGGTGACACCCCCCCCACCCCGGAGTGGCACCCCTTCCCTTAGGGAAGCCGAGGGGCTAACTTGCCAGGGCTGCCAAACCTTGGAAATTTGGGAGAAATCACTCTTCCTCCTCTTAGCCCAAGTCCCCCGTCCCCTCCCCCCGACTCCCCAAAGCACGCCAAGGGCCATTTTCGCGCGGCTCCACTTTGGGGTTTTCCAAAGTATTTTAATGATCTAGTAAAGGAGCAGCCGCGCGCCTCGGCGCCGGCTCGAGCCGCCCAGCTCTCAGCGTGCAGCCCCGGGCCCGGCGCTCGGAAGCCAGACTGGGCGAGAGGGAGGACCGGGGGCGGGGCGGGCGCGGGGCCGGGCTGGAGTCTGGGGAGGGGGTCCGGGTCGGAGCCCAGGGGGAGGACAGCCGAGGGGAGGGCGAGATAAGGGCTGGGCGGGCGCGGGCCGCGGCGGGGGGAGGCGAGGGGCAGATAAGGGAGAGGGACGTGGCGGGAGGGAGCGAGCGGCGTCCGCTGGGGTCTGCGCCCCCTCCCCTCGGACGCTGCCGCAGTGCCCCCCACCCCGGGGGTCCGAGCCGCTGGGAGCGCCGGTCAAATCCCCTCCCCGCGGGGGTCGGAGACTAGAGCGCCCCCAGCCCGGTTCATGTCATCCCCCGCCCCAACTGCAGAAAAGAGAGGGTCGCCCCCCGGACACCCCCAGCTCGCCCGCAGGAGCAGGACAGCGGCTCCGCGGAGGCGGCCGCAGCGGGGACTGCCGGGGCCGGGCGCTGACAGGGCGTCCCTCCCGGCCGGCCCGGGCCCGCCCCCGCGCGTGCCGATTGGCCCAGGCGGCCATCAATCGCGGGACGTTGACGCCCGCCTCGCTCCCTCGCCCGGGTAGCCACGTTCGGTTGAGCTCCGAGTAGACCAGCGGCGGCGGCGGCGGCAGCGGTGCCGGAGGCGCAGAGGGCGGCGCAGGCGGAGCCGAGCGGGCGCGCGAGCGAGCGGCCGTGCGGGCGGCGGCGGCGGCACCCCAGGCCGAGCCGGCGCGGGAGGAGTTCCAGGGCGATGGGGCCGCGGCCGGGGCTGACGCTTTGACAGCTGGAAAGAGCGCGGAGCCAGCGCCTGGGGGGGAGGGAGGGGAGCGCGGCGAGGAGAGCGCGAGCGAGCGAGCGAGCGAGCGCCGGGGAGGGGGCCGGGAGCGAGGGGCAGCTCGGGAGAGCCGGAGCGGTAGCGGCGGCGGTGAGGCTCGGCGCCCTCTTCCCTGCAAACCATGTTTGCCAAAGGCAAAGGCTCGGCGGTGCCCTCGGACGGGCAGGCTCGGGAAAAGTAAGCCCTATTTTGCAAGTGGCGGCCGCGCCGCCGCCGGGCTGCGGGCGGGCGGTGGGAGGCAGGTGGGCGGGCGGGGGCAGGGGGCTGTTGCGCCCTCGGGCCCCGGGGCCCCGGGCCGCCTGCCTGGCCCCTTCCTGAGGCCGCGGCGGGCGGCGTGGGAGAACCCATTGTTGGGAGCGGGCGGAGGTTGGGGTATCAGGGAAGGGGCGGCGGGGGAGTCTCCGGGGAGGGGGCACTTGGTGGCCTCAGGCTGGCCGGGCGCTGGGGCCCACGGTGAGGGGTGGGCGAGGTCCCGCGAGCGAGCCTGGGCGCTCGCCCCAGCCAGGCGCTCACCGCGGTGGCCGCACTTTGCCCACCGGGCGCGGGCAGGGGGCGCGTGGCTTCTGTAGCCCCGAAGGCTCCTTTTGTCCGCCCGCGGCGTGAGGAGTGCGTGCCGGGGGCTTTGTTCGGCCGGGAGCGCTCTCCCTTCCCTGCCCTCGGTCTCGCCGCCGGCTCCGCGCCCTCCAGGGCGCCGGGCTGGGCATGGACGGCGGCGCCGGCTTGGCCCTAGGCTGGGGGGACAGTTGTTTCAGGGGGGAGGTGGTGAGGGTGGCGCTTTGCTGCCCTCTCCAGAGCGCGCCAAGTACCCGGAGTCCGGGGCTGAGTCTCCCCGGACCTCCAAAGCTGGGTAGAGAGGGTGGCGAGGAGTGGGTCGTGAAAGGAGGGTGTCTGTAGGGTTGGTGGCTTTCGAGTTTGAGAGACCTGGGTAGGTTTGGCCCTGACGCCACTTGGAAGTTCAAGTTTGGGGGCTGCTCTCCAGCCCCCACGGCTTGAGGTGACGCGCTGCCTGGTCCCCACCCCCTAACTGTTCTCACCGGCAGTCAGCTTGGGGTGAGCTAGCTGCTTACCTCTGGTCAGGACCACAATGGGACAGCGCAGACGGGGCTCAGAGCCGGCTGGCAGGGTCCAGGAGCGAGCGCCCGGTGTGATCTGACGCCTTCTCTCTCTGCCCTCTGCCCACTTTCCAGGTTAGCTTTATACGTCTATGAATATTTACTGCACGTAGGAGCACAGAAATCTGCACAGACCTTCCTATCGGAGGTGAGTGGGACTCCCCCCAGCACCCAGTTTCTTGACACCCCTTCCTCCCCACTATTCTTAGAGCCTTTGTTTTCAGGAGCAGCCACTGTGGCCACCATTTTGAATTTTTATCACCTTTTGGCATTTATTGTTAGTTGGTCTTCACAGCCTTTTGGCTCCGGGAAACCCCCAGCCCACCCCCTCTGCTCTGCTCCTCTAAGCTGGCTTCCCTGTCTCTTTTCCAGATTCGATGGGAAAAAAACATCACGTTGGGAGAACCGCCTGGGTTTTTGCACTCGTGGTGGTGGTAAGTTTGTGTGATAGTTTTGTGTGTGTTTGTTTTGTTCTGAGCCCTGGGTCCAAGTGAACAAAGAAGGCCTGGAGCAGACCCTCCACCCTTCGCCCTCAGCTTTGCACAGAGCAGGGCACCTCTGGGCGCAGGGGCTGAGCTGGGCAAGGAGGAGAGGGCAGAGGAGGATGTGCCTGAAGTTTTTTTTAAAAAAACGACTAAACCTGTGGTGTTGGAGTAGGGACTCCTTACGTTTCCATCTCACTCTGGGGCACTAGGCAGGGGGCTTGAGAAATCCTTGCAGGATTTTTGTCAATTCTGCATGCTGCTTTAATTAGAGGAGTGGGGGCAGGGCGGAGTGGAAGGGATACCAGGTCTGTTTTACAACTGGCCTGTCCCTTCCGTTTTCTTCTATGAGCTGAAAATCTTAAGAGAGGACATCTACTGGGGCCTTTTCCAGGCACCCTGAGAAAAAGCGAGAAAGGGCTGCCACTTCCTTTAAAGACACTGATTCAGACTGACTGGACCTTCCTTTTCTACAGAGCTACCCCTCCCCCCGCAAGCATCATGAAAACCACAGAGCTTTATTTTACCAAGAACCTTAACTGGTCAGAGTCCACCTCACAGAGTGCTTGTAGTGAGGGGCTGTCTCTGTGGGTATGGGGCCACCACAGGTCTGGTCTGTGTTGGGTTTGTGGCAGGCAGGAAGGGAGGCTTAGAGCAGCGGGAGCCAGTTGCCATGAGTGTGTGACCTGGGTGTTTTGTGGGACCGATTGCTGGAGTCTTTGACATCCTTCTGAAAAGGGAAAAGAAAGCAGAGTGGCTTTTGATATTTTGGTGGAGTTCAGGAAAACGTAGTGTCCTGTTGTTGGGATCTTAGCACATTTACCTGACTGCCAGCTCAGGTTACTGTTTCAAGTCTCTTTGAACAGCAGGAGGATGAAGTGTCTGTTCTAACTTGTGCAGAGAAAATGAGTTTTTAATTACTTCTGCCAACCTCCGAACTGCTGGCGTTGGAGACATTTGTGTGGCCTAAGGATTCCACCTGTAGGAGTGGGTGATAGGTTTTCTGTAGTTTTTTTTGGAGGGAGGATGTGGATGGGGTTGGCAGGTCTCATCATCTTGGATCTTGTAGAAATTTAGGTTTAGGAGTGAAAGTGACTTAGAAGGGGCTGGAGAATTTGTAGTCTTAAAAACTTTAATGTGTGGAGTTAATCAAATGTGTGCAGCTCCAGAAGGCAGAAAGGAATGTTCTCTACCCCTCCTCTGCAGCTAGTAGAAGTTCTTGATTTTCCTGTTATCTCCAGAATCCCCTGAAACATCTCCATCCTCGTCTCAGCCCCAAGCATGTAGAGTCTATTGTGCTGAGCTCAGGCAGTGGTGACGTGGGGTAGTTGTGCCTGTGGTCCTGTTTGTTGGAAGTTGCCTCCTGCGATTGGACACTGAGCAAATGACCACGGCTTTCTGGAGTGGGAGGAAGCAGCGGAACTGATCCCGTGAGGGCAGGCTGCATTATTCACACACCTTGAGTGAGATGCTTGTCTTACCACTGGCAGAGCTGGCTGTCTGCGATGGGGACAGGAACCCTGGACTGGGAATTGGACCCTGGTGCTGATGCCCACTTTACCCTTCAAGTTGGTTCCGTCCCTGGGCCTTGGGCTCTTGATGTGGAGAGTTTCTAAGGCCCCTTGTTCATACCAATGACTTTTCTGTGTGTGTTTGAGATGTTACTGGTTGACAAAGGACATACATGTCTGTTCTCGTTTAATACAAAGTGTGGGAGTGACCAACAAAATCATGGTGGGGGTAAGGCAGATAATTCTAGGCCTGCTGCCTTTCCCCAACAGGTGCTTCTCTGAAGAGGGCCCTCTATTTCAATGTGAAAGGACAGCATGCTTGGTTGTTCATAGATTCTCCTTTGGCTCATTGATGTGTGTTTTTTGGTGGGTGGGGGGAGGAGTGGTTCTTGTATCAGAATTCCCTGGGGGAGGGCTTAGGTGGGAGTTGAGGGTGAGATGGGAAGGGTGGGGATGTGGGCTCATGGATTAAGAACCTATGAGGTTTTCCTTTATTGCCAGAGTCACCCAGATTGCTGCAAATATGAATCACAGTTGTGTTTTGACTCTGATGCTAGAACCTTTTTATGATATGCAGCCATTTTGGTTCCGGGTGGTAAAAGGAATGCAGATGAGACAGGCATGAATTCTTATTCAAATTCCTACCTGTCCTACTGGGGCATCCACTGAGTGGGTCGTAGTAACCTCTCTGAGCTTCAGTTGCCCCATGTGTTAAAGTGGAGAGAAAATTACCTACATTATGGTGCATGGTAGACATGAGTATTATGGGTTTGAGGCATCTAGCACATAGTAGGTGCTTGGTAGATGAGAGCTGTTACTCTTATTACAAATCGCTGGGTTGGCAGGAGAGGTTGGATCCGTTTTGTTTTTTAGGCTGAGGTTGCCCGATAAAACCTGGTACGGTGGGATTGAGCCTTTGGGAGACCTGGTGCTGTTAGCACCATGCATTGTGCACTTGCCGTTGTGTGCACAAGTCATAATTAGTAACTTGATCTTATTTTATTTTTCAACTTGCAGCGTATTTTGGGACCTTTACTGTGCAGCTCCTGAAAGGAGAGACACTTGTGAACATTCAAGTGAAGCAAAAGCCTTTCATGATTACGTGAGTAACAAATTTTTAATCCTAGCAATAATTACAGGGTTGGATGGCTCTAACTTCTTTAGTAGCAGAAGCAAATACACAGCCAGTTGGCAGTGGTCTTTATTTTCTCCTTGCCTTTCTTTCTGTTCCCTTTCCCACCTCCCTGCCACCCTCCCCACCATCCAGCAGTGTTCTAACTTGGTGAATGGTGTTTCCTAATGTTGCAATTATGCAAAAGAGTGCAGATACCTATCTGGAGAATTAAATGGTGTTGTGCAGAGCTGAGAACCATGTGAGGTATGTTTAGAGTGGACAGTTAGCTGGGAGGGGACTGAGCATCTTTGGTGTTGGTTTAAGAAACATTGACTGCAACCAAAAAAAGCAAATATGAAACTTGTGTTTTGGTGTAGAAGGGGTGTTTGAATGAGAATTTGGTGGAATGAACTCTTGCTCTACTTTCCAGAGATCGATCTTTCAATTTATGGTGTGTGTGTGTTTGGTGAGGGGCTTAAGTTGTATACACTATGACACTGTGTACTCTGAGATCCTCAGCTGGTCCATAATATTGTGCCCCAAATATTCATATGAAGATAGTTAATGCCATCACGTTCTACTGCCTTCTACCCTATCATTCATTTCTACCTGGATGAGTTTCTTAAGATTTGTGAAGTTATTGCAAGAGATATGTCTGCCATGTGTCCATCTCCCATGGCAGTCCCCTTAAAAAAAAGAGAAGTGGCTCCAAACCTGGGTTGGAGGCAGACTTTATGATCTGATGAAACAGGTTAGGATCTGTCTGGGGGAGATAGAAGGGGAAGTGTCTGAAGGTCTTCCGTGTCCTCCCTCCAGTTCTTGCTTCCCGTTGGCCCTGTAGATGGTTAAGTGTATGTGTGCATGTGCACATAGTAGGTGTGATCTGTTTGGTCTTGCTTTTCTTCATGAAGTGGGTAGGAATGGTCCTGGGAGTCCATGAGAGTTGGTTTCTTGACTGTCATCAGGTCCCACCCACTTGCCAGGCCACCTGAGTTCGCTGCATGCAGAGGTTGAAACTAGCCTAGGAGACCAGAACCCTTCTGGTTGAGTTTCACAAGTGGTCAGATCCCATTACCAGGAATGTCTTCCTGGTGAAAATTTCTCTTGTAATAGGAGGAGGAGACTCATCTGGAGGCCCACACTGGTTTTGTGATGCAGTTTTGTTGTGACTGAAAAGTTAATGCCCTTAGAGTGGAATACTGAGGAAATTGACCAGTTCTCTTGCACTCTCCAGGGCTGAAAACGAGAAGCTGGAGAAGCTGGTGAATGGTACTTCTGGCCTTGCAATCTTTAGTAGCAAGGGGGAGAGGTGACTGGTTCACTTGTGATGTGGTTCTTCTGGGAAAATCCCATGGCAATGATGATAGGGTTTCCCGAACTGGAGGTTGGGGGAGACGAAGAGGTACAGCAGCCATTTAAAAATAGTTGGTGAATTTGACCTTTCTACCTGGTAAGAATCTTGCAGTTTTAAAAAAAATTTTGAAATCTATGGATGGCCAATGCTTTGTTGCTAGTGTTTGACTACTATGCAAGTGGTTTTATTTTAGAGTGGAGGGATGGGTGGGTATGCCTATTTCAAGCCAATCTCTTGGTATAGGGTACCTATGCTGTCTTTTGCTGGTACCTTTCAGAGAAGTTGAGTTTTAACCAGGCTTGGTGCGCCAGTAAATGGGAGACTATCGGGCAGCCTGTGGTGTGGTCTGCCATCTTGAAACAATATGGCAGCATTGTGAGCTTGAACATGGGTTTGCTTTCAGTAATTTGCTAAGGAATGGCAGTAGAATTGTGTAGAGATTGCTGCGGTTGGCATCGACGTTTAGAAGATGGTACGAAGAGATGACACTACATTCATTGAAGCCCACAATTCATAGGTTTGGGAATCAAAACCTTTTTTCCTAGTCATGGACATGAAGCCAATGTTGGTGAAGCTCAATAAAACCAAAAACCTTTTTTCCTGGATTGGGCTCTACTTGGTGTTCTATGGCCTGCATTCAACTTAGGTCATTTGGGAAGAGGGATGGAGTGACAAGTGAGGATTACGAAGAAGTTATGGGATGGCATTAAATTGGAGGGGTAGCAGCAGAGAAACAACTGGAAAATTAAGAAATAAGTAAGAAAACTAAGAAAAGGAACTCTCTTTTTTATTTGTCTTTCTCAAATCTTCATCTTGTTTCTCCATTCCCATGGCTGCCATCTATCTCGTTAGCCCCTCATCCTTCTTGCTAGAATTATTGTCATAGCTTCTTAGTGGACTTTCTTCCTTTTGTCTGGAATGCATTCTTTTCTTGTGCATTCATATCCTGTCTGCCTTTTAGGGTCTTCTTCTTGGAGGACTTTTATGATAGTTTTTTGCACTCTTTGATCACCTCCTCATCTCAACGTCTATAAAACCTACCTATGCAAAGCCCCTTTTGGCAGCTTTCCATGTGCTGGGCCACTGTGCTAAGTGCTGAAGGTTCAGTCCCTCATTTCATCCTGCCAGTGGCCCAGTGAGAGAAGGCATGCCATAAACTCCATTTTACAGATAAACTGAGGCAGAGAGAGGTTAATTCCCAGCTGGAAAGTGGTAGAGTTAGAGTGCACACACACGTCGTGACGGCCCCCAGAACGGGTGTTCCTGACACCGCCTGGCTTGGCCCCATGGTGTTTGTGCTGTTCCAGCTAACTTTAGGTGGGTCTTTCTGGCTGCAGCTTATTAATTTTTTCCATGGTAGAGACCATGAATGATTCGTCTCTGCAGCTCCAACAATACCTGGCACATAGTAGGCACACACGCTGATTGGATAAAGGAGTTAAGGTACAGGTCAGAATGGATAGGTAATTTGAGGTCAGTGAGTATCCTGGGCTGGAACAGCCAGTGGAAAATTGGAAGGTGTTCTTTTGGTCACTTAATTTTTGTGGATGATCTTGAACAAGGTGATTTTAATGTCAGTTAACTAGTTGACTTAAATCCTTCCTAGAAAATCAAATGGAGTGTAAATAAGAGTGTCTGTTAACTGACCTTCTGTTTTCTATCAAGGAGATTGAGAGATCCTCATGGTATGGGGAGTTTGTACAGCCCAGGTAGCAGACCTGGTGTTTGGTGTGGAGTGTTTATGGGGCAGACACAAAGAGAGAGTCCTGATTCCTGTGGGGCTGGAAAGGACCAGGGTCTTCCATTTGAGGTGCCAGCTGTTTTAGAGAAATGATATTGTGATCCTGGCAAGTCATGTCCTCTTCCTGAGGGCTGGACCAGAGTTCAGTTCCAGGTCAAGGCCAGGCTGTAGGGCTTTGGTGGGGAGGGGAGTTAGACTTGCTTTGAATTGGTGAGTTTTTATTTGAGTCACGGTTTGTTTTCCCTTCACACCTGGCCACTCGAGTTTTCTTGGTTTATTGTTTCTAAGCCCGAGAGCATGATGTTGACCACACAGCATGCAGAGCTCTGGGGGATTCAGAATCTGGGGGTGCTTTTCTGTGAAGTTGGTTGGCTTTAATCAGAAGAGGGCCTGGGCCATGGGAGGAGGGTCCTTTTTGGGATTTCCTTGCTGTTCCCCTCAGGCCAGAATAGTGCTGCCCAGAGTGTTGACAATATCCTGTGGGCTCCTCTTGGGGCATTCCTTTTGGGTTCTCTTAGACACGTTGTCTGGGTCCTGTCCGTTGTAGAGTAGACACTCCTAACTGCATGAGTGTCTTTTACTGTGGGCCAGGTGGTGTTCTGACCACTTTCTCCACTTCCATCTGCTCCAGGGTGGATCTGCAGGGTTAGTGGAAGCATCTTTGGTGCCTTCAAACTACCAGCAATCCTTTTCCTCGTTGTAGTAGCTAATTTTGTGTATTCCTTTTGGTGGCAAGAAACAAGTAGAGTAGGAACAGCGCTGAAGTGGCCTTCAAGCCCACGATGCTAGAGAATGGTGGTGGGTCCTGGCACTGCTCATGTCTGCTTTACTCTGTCGTATGTTTTCACCAGGATTGTGGTTGGACCTCACAGTTGCCTTCTTGGTTGGGTTTTGTTATAAAATCTCATCCCCGTTTTGCAGATAAGGAAACTGAGGCATGGAGTTTAGGTGGCTTGTCCCAGGGCACGTAGCCAGGTGGTGGCAGAGCTGGGACTAGAAATTCCCCATCTTTCCAATTCATGGACTGGTTCTCTGAACCCCAAGCCCCTCAGCTTTTGATGACACTTGTTTGGTAGAGAATTCCTATAAAACAGGGACGTTATTGGCATTTGACTTGAAGTGTACCTGGCATCTGCTAGGTGCCCAACATATGTTCACTAAAGAAATGAACTTAACAGAGTTGAACTGAAGCCCCTGAGAGGTGAAACGCAGAGTCACTGGCAGAGGTGAGACCTGAACACCGGGGAGGGAGTTTGTTATGGTGCAGCGGCTCTTAACTTTTGGCAGGAGAAATGTGATAAAAGCTATGGGCTTTATTTCCAGAAAATGCACGTGTCCTCATAAAGGAGACTTTGTGCATGATTTCAGGAGGTTCATGGACTGCTGCTCCAAATCCCAAGCCTCTCTGTGAGCTCCAGTAAAGAACTTTAGGAGTGAAATGGACATGGAGTCCTATGACCTTGGCGACTCTTCCCTGCTTGCCTCAGTTTCCCTGCTTTGACGACCTGAGGTTCCTTTCAGCATGGCCGGTGTGTATCCCCAGCTCAGCTGTGCTGGCTTCCTTAGCCTTGTGCCCCGCAACAGCAGGACGCTGCTGGTCCCGCCCTGCACCTCCTGCTGTGAGACTTTGCTTTGGGGAGGGTTGCTTAAAGTAGGAAAAAGCCCCCAGAGTCCTGGGCGTGGGCGGGAGCTGAGGTATTTGAGGCTGTGTGGCAGGGGTCCAGCGTCCTTGGTGGGTTTGAAATAGCAAAGTGATATTTGAGAGGGCTCTCCTTGGATGTGCTGAGCCGAGGTTCCTGCCAGGCAGGCAGTGTCCACGCTTGCCAGAACCCTGTGGGGGAGGGGCGAGAGGGTGCAGTGCAGGCAGGAGTAGGAGAGGAGGCCTGCAGCTGG